GTAATCAGGGATCTTAGGGTTCAAGTCTATAGCTCCCTGAAAGTGGCCATTCAAGTGGATAGGGTGGTAAAGAGGACATATGGCCTGCTTGTCTTTATTCGTCTGGGAAATTGAGTTCAAGAGTCAGGATGTCATGTTGCAGCTTTATAAGACTTTGGTTAGGCCACACTTAGGGTACTGCATTCAATTCTGGTCACCACATTACAGGAAGGATGTGGAGGCTTTGGAGAGGGTGCAAAGAGGTTTACCAGGATATTGCCTGGATTAGAGGGTATGAGCTATCAGGAAAGGATAGAAAAGCTTGGTTTGTTTTTTCTGGAACGGCGGAGACTGAAGGGAGACTTGATAGAAGTCTATAAAATTATGAGATGCATAGATAGAGTTGGAATCTTTTTCCAAGTGTTGCAATGTCTAATACTTGGGGGCATGCATTTAAGGTGAGGGAGGAAAGTGCAAAGAAAATGTGAAGGGCAAGTTTATTTTACACAGAGAGTGGTAGGAGTCTGGAACACACTGCCAGGGATGGTGGTGAAGACAAATACAATAGGGCTTTTAAGGGACTTTTAGATAACCACACGAATATGCAAGGATTGGAAGGATACGGACCAAGGGCAGGCAGAAGGGATTAGTTTAATTTGACGTCATGTTCGGCATAACATTGTGGGCCGAAGGGCCTGTTCCTGTGCAGTACTGTTCTTTGTTCCTCACTGTCAACAATACCATCAACTTTTGTGTCATCTGCAAACTTACACATTATACTTTCTACATCCACATCCAAGTCATTAATGTAATTTTGGAGTTTGGTTGCTGATGCTTCAGCATGAAGATTTGAAAGTTCCTTGCCTAACCCTCCTTTACCAGCTATTGGAATTCAGAAAACAGAAATTAAATTATAAGAGTAATTGAAACTTCAGAGTGAACTGAAAAAGTGGTCCTGATTGACATTTTGAGAAAAATCAACCGAGAAAAATGCATACATATCTGCAGAACCACGCGTCATGAAACTTCTTAAGTAATCTGGCCAGTTTTGCTACTTTCATTTTTTAAATTTATCCCTTAAGTGTGCTTATTTGTCTGTCTATGTTCTGTGCGAATGAGGCTGAAAACAAAGGTTATTGAGTTTAAATTCTGACATCAACTTTGTTGTTTAATTTTGTTCTGCTAATGTAACTGTATTGTTAATGAATTGTTGACTTTTATTTAAGCTGCAAACCTGGTGTCTAGAATTGATTATTCAAAAAATCTGGGTTTGATTTTTCAAAAAGTCTGTTTAGGAATCACCAAGGTCAATTTTGAGGGTCTTTGAAGGTTTTAATTTTACTCTGCTCTGAATACAAAGGTAGGGAGGCTGATTTGATTCAGTGTCTGTCTTCGTATCGTAACATTGTTTGTGACTGCAGGCTGGTGTGAAGGAATCAGTGCTATGTCCCCTATTATTTATGATATATATAAACAGTCTTCTACCACCACCCTCTGCCTCCTGCCAATAAGCTAATTTTGTACCCAACTTGTCAATTTACCCTGGATCCTATGTGCTTTTACTTCCTTATCAGTCTCCCATGTGGGACCTTGCCAAAGGTTTTGCTGAAATCCAGAAAAACTATATCAACTGCATTAAGGAGCCCAGCACTGATGCCTGTCTGCCAAGAGACACCTTGTGAAAGCCTCAAAAAAATCCTGTAATCACATCAAACGCATTACCTTTATATACTCTCCTCAAAAGATTCAATCAAATTTGTCAAACGTAACAAATCCACGCTGACTAGCCCTGATTAATCTGATTTTTCCAAGTGCAGATAATATTTGTTAATAACCCGCTCACCACACAGGTTCAACAAACTGGCCTGTACTTTCCTGGCCTATCCAGTCCTCCCTTTTTTAACAATGGGATAATATTGGCAGCCCTCCAGTTCTGTGACACCTCACCTGTGTACAGAGAGGATTTGAAAATTACTGCCAAGGTCCCCAATATCTCTTGCTTCCCTTAACAACTTGTGATACATCGTAACCAGGCCTGCAGGTTTATCCACTTTTGAGGCAGTTAAACGATTAGGACCTTCAATCTCTCTATGTTAATTCTCTCTTAACATTTCGAAGTCGTCCAGCCTGATGGCTATACCTGTGTCATCTTTTTCTATTGTGAAAACTGAAATAAAGTCTTCACTGAAGACCATTTTTTTTCCCAGTCCACACAAACACATTACTTCTTTGGTCCCTAATGAGCCCTACTCTTTCCAAAGGTAATCTATTGTTCATTACAAGTGAATACAGTGTAGATCTGGAGGAACACAGCAGGTGAGGCAGCATCAGAGGAGCAGGAAAGTCAACATTTTGGATTTACACCCTTCATCAGGGTGGGAAGTGGGAAATAAATAGAGGCTGGGGGGTTGGGGCTGGGGTAAGGTAGGTGAGATGGTGAGATGGTGAGGTTGGCAGGCCATTTTACAAACAGACAGTACACTGGGCCATCAAAGGGTGGGGTTCACCGTGCACTCCGAATGACCTGGATTAACAACCACACAGATCAACTGGTATGCCTGGCCATTTCGTATTAATAAGCGACCAGCAAAACAAACAACGAATATGCGAGATTACAGACCATCCCAGAGAACAGAATGTCCCAGATTATAGACCATCCCATATTATAAATGCCTGGGATCACCACCTGGACCTGTATCAATAACTGCCCGGGTTTAACAATTCAGGTAATAACATCCTCCAAAATCACTGACTGTGTCCTTTGATAATTATTGCCTGGGATTGCCGACCTTCCCATACTTATGACTGCCCAGGATTACCAAATGCCTGGAATTAATAGCTGCTGGGATTATCTGGCACCTTGTATTAATAACGTGGGATTACCAACCATTGCATGTTAATGGCTGTCTGAGATTACTTACTGTCTTATATTAATAACCATCTGGGATTTCTGACTTTCCAGCATTAATCACTTTCCAGGATGACGGATCTTCCTAGATTGATAATTGTCCAGGATTAATGACTGTCCCATTCTAATAACTATCTGGGATGACTAACTGTCCTATATTACCGACTGTCTCTTATTAATAACCATTTGGGATTACTGACCAACCTGTATTAATGTCTGTTGGGATTACCAACTATCCCGTACAGATGGCCATCTAGGATTAGTGACGTTTTTGTATTATTGGCCATCCAGGATAAACTAAAACACCATATTACTAACTGCCCGATATTACTGTCTGTGCCCTCTTAACGTGAGTTAACGAATGTCTGGGATGACTAACTGTCTGGGATTATCAACGCCCCACATTCATGATCATCAGGGATTACAACCCTTCCCATATTATTAACTATCCACGATTACCAAATTTTAATAATCATCGAGAATTATCAATTGGCCCATATTAATAACCATCCAGGAGTACTGCTCATCCTGTACTAAGGACTGCCAGGGATTACTGCCTGTCTGCGATGAATAACCATCATGATTATCACCCACTCCATATTAATAACCATCCAATATTGCCAACCATACAATATTAATGACTGTCTGGGATTATCGAATATCTCGTACTAATAACCGTCTAGGATTATCAACCATCAAGTATTAATAATTTTCTAGAATTACCGACTGTCCCGTATTAATAATCATCCAGGATTACCAACTATTCCTTATTGATAAGTGTCAGGAATTGTTAACCGTCCCTGATTGATAACCGTCCATGGTTACTGACCATTCCCTATCAACGAATGTCTAGGATTACCGACCATCGTGTTTAAATAGCCGGCAGCGAGTTGCGATGGTGATGTGGTTAACTGAAAAAAAAGCTCTCACCAAAAGTGAGGAGTTGAATTGCGTTTAAATAATTATGTCCCGGTGTATAGCATGCATTGCCTGGCATCACCCTGGGACTGAATTCCCTTAGTGACACAATGCACAATGGCCTGGTCTGAGGACTAACACTGACAGTTAATATTTCTGGTTGCATCTTCATGTCAACAGTGATCTGACCAATCAGTATGCTGTTCTCCTGCTGTATAAACTTGTCGCCCCAGCTTCCAACTCTCAAGTTTCTTACTGTCTACTCTTGATGAGTGCAAGACAAGAAATCTTCACTCCTTTCCTCCTTTGAGCAATGTTCTAGTTGCATGTTATCAAGCAATGCTTCAAGAAACTGGCAGTGCTGCAGACGGTCCAGTTTTACCACTGCCTGGCATTGTTAGACTTTCAGTACTACTTAGCCAAACGGATTACCGATCACTTGACATTTTTGGCCATTTGAAAGCGTGAAGTATCAGCCATGGAATAAATATCCAGGATTGATGACAGTCCAAAACAACTGCTGTCATGCCCAGCTTGATAACTATCGGATATGACCATCAATGACTCAAATTTACCTCCACCACCATCAGTCCTCATCGATTACTAACTTCCACCCCCAACATTGCCCCCTGCTATATGACCTGCATCTGACTGGTCACTGGGACAATAGGGGAGAAGGGAATTATGAATACAGAGCCACGATGTACATATGATTGGTTAATGGAACAATGTGGGTGGGGGGGGAGGTGAGCATTGTGAAGGCAGAACGTTGTCTATGATTGGTCATTGTGACAGAGGGGGTGGCATTGTGAGGTCAGAGGCAGGTCCTATCTATGATGGACCACTGGGACAACGGGCGCATTGTGACGTCAGGGCCAGACCGCGTTTACAATCGGTCACTGGGAGAATGGATGAGCATTGTCAGGTCAGAGCCAAGTCGGCTCGGCCCCTTCTTCCTGCAGTAAGATGGCGGCCGCGCATGCTCCGACCAGACCCCCGCTGCTCCAAAATGGCGACTTCGAGGCCGGGAGTTTTCACCCCACCTTCCCCTCAGCTTCCAACCCGATCGCCCCTCCGCCATTTACAGCTCCGGCCGAGGGTAGGGTGCAACCCCCTCCTCCGCTGCCCACGCCCCTCCCCCAAAGTCCCCGTCGAGCCGCCAACCAGTCAGGCGGCGTCGCTAGCCTCCAGTTACCTGACGCGGCGGCACTGGGAGGAGGGAGCAGAGCACCAGCCCTTGCCCTCGCCCCGGCCCTAGCTCCGGCCATCGCCGCCATCCTCCTCCTCCTCGGGCAACGTCCAACAATGGGCCTCACCCCGCGCCTGCGCACTGCCTTCCCACCCGCCCGCTTCCCCCAACATCCGACGGCCTACGCCTGCGCGGCCACCCCTTCCCATCCCCTCCCCTCGCGGGTGACTGTTATGGCAACGGAGTCAGGTCCTCCCCTACCCTCCGACTGTGCGGGCGGCCCGAGGGGGCGTGACGTGAGGGAAAGGGCGTGGCCTAGTGGGCAATAGACGTAAAGGGTCGTTCTACCCTGGAAGGGCGGGACAGAGTGACCCGGGCTCCAGCGCGCGGGTGGCATCGTGAAAACATTCATTGCCCCTGGCGTCGGAGCAATAGGTTCAAATCCCGCAGTGAACCAATACACGAAGTACGGTGAAGGAGTAAATCCGCAGAGGATTCAGGAACCAAATACAGGGAGATGTGTGGATAGGGAGACAAAGCCAAGTACATCCACGGCTTGAGGGACGGTGTTAAATGCATGAGGGGCGTGTGTATTCGTGCACTTCAGCCCCGCCTGCTCCCTTTCTGATCTCTGTGGACCTTGTGCCAGGAGGGGGCCCTCTTTCCTGGACATGAACAAGTCCAGGTAGCAAGCTGCAGGGCTTCAACTTTTCCTAAACAAGAACAGAAATTGCTAAGGAGGTGGGGTGGGGAGGAAACTTAGCAATTTCGGCAGCATCTGTGGAGAGAAAGCGGAGTCCTTCATTAGGATCCATTGCTGAATTTCTCCAGCAATTTCTGTTTTTGTTTCAGATTCACAGTATTTTTGTTGTGTGGGTGGGTGGTTTGCTTTGCTTTGCTTTTTTTTGGTTATTGTTCTTGATGTCTTCGTGGTTATGTCCACACTCTTGGAGAGAGGCATGTGGTGCCTACTGGTGCAATCAAGGTCATCAGAGAACAGTGGGCACTGTAGGGGCTGGGTAAGTTTCCATTAACCATTAGTTTGTATGTGGGTGGCACAGTGACTCAGGGTGAAGCTTGCATGTTCTCCCAGTGGGTTTGCTCCAGTTGCTCCCACAGTCCAAAGATGTGCAGGCTAGCTAGCTTAGGCATGGGAGATACAGGGTAACAGGGATGGAGGGCCAGGGCAGGGTGTGGTGCCATTGAGTCGAGTAAGATGCTCTTTGGAAGGCCAATGTCATTTAAAGGGCTAATTCTATGATAGGGGATTCTATGATACTTTTTGTCACATCATCCTATCAATCAGAGCCTGCTGAATTCAATGGGGTGGGTTTTAAAAGAGAGCGTGTGAACCCACATGGATGTATCCAGAGAGGGAAAAAGAGTGAGTACGGAGGATGGGGTTGTCTTGTGAAGAAAGGTTGGATAGGTTACAAACATTTCAGAGAGTTTATAGAATGATCATAGAATCCCTATAGTGTGGAAACAGGCTTTTGGCCCAACAAGTCCATACCAACCCTCCAAACATTCCACCTAATCTACACATCCCTGAACACTATGTGCACTTGAGCATGGCCAATCCACCTTTTTGGACTTTTAAAAAGGCTGAGGGACTTGAGGCTTGAGGCTTGAGGCTGTTTTCGTTAGAGAGAATAAGGTTAAGAAGTGACTTAATAGAGACATACAAGATATCAGAGGATTAGATAGGGTGGACAGTGGGAGCCTTTTTCCTTGGATGGTGATGGCTAGCACGAGGGGACATTGCTTCAAATTGAGGGGTGATAGATATAGGACAGATGTCAGAGGTAGGTTCTTTACGCAGAGAGTAGTAAGGGCATGGAATGCCCTGCCTGCAAATGTAGTAGACTCGCCAACTTTAAGGGCATTTAAATGGTCATTGGATAAACATATGGCTAATAATGGAATAGTTTAGGTTAGATGGGCTTCAGATTGTTGCACCGACCTGTGAAACCATCGAGGGCCAAAGGGCCTGTACTGCGCTGTAATGTTCTAGGAGAGGAAACCAGAGTACCCAGAGGATACCTACACAGACACAGGGAGAACATGCAAACTCCAGTCATCTGAGGGCAGAAGGGAACCCAGGTTCCTGTCATTGTAAGGCAGCAGTGCTAGTCACTGAGCTAGCGTACCTCCCAGTTGTAAACATTTGGTTGTGTTGTCCTGGAAGAGTGGTAGAAGCAGAGTACGTGCATAATTTTAAGCCTGATATGGACAAATTCTTCAGAGATAGTAGGAACTGCAGATGCTGGAGAATCTGAGACAACAAGGTGCAGAGCTGGATGAACAGAGCAGGCCAAGCAGCATCATAGGAGCAGGAAGGCTGAC